CTTCCGATCAGTTTTACATAAAATCTAAAGCTGGAAGCTAGTTATGTCCTCAGTGATTAGGCACTTATTTTTGTAGGAGTAAAGGCACTAAGAACACCTGGGGATTTCATTAGAAAGATAAGTAAAGAGATACTAGAGACATACATTTTTAAAATGTTAACTTTAGTGAGGTTTGGGAGAGAGATCTACTAAACCTTTCAAAATGACAGGCCTCTTCTAAAAGCCTCATACGTTGCCACTGAATCATTAAGTGGTTCAGCAAGTTCTGAGGAATCAGAATACAAAAGACAAATGAGCTTTTCACAGATCCAGTATTATCATTAATACATCTGATGGATGCAATTCCAAGATCCACAACAAAACAAACAAACAAAATATATAGGGCACATTCTTGTCATTTAGCTATTCTCTGTGTTAGTTTTGGATTATTTAATACACTGAGTTTGCAACCAAGTGTAAGGCAAGATACATATATGATACTAAATTAATGAAAGAAATAAGAACCCCTTTTCACAATGCCAAAGTCTAAGGTTGTATATCATACTTCTATCTGCAACAATCTCAGAATACTCTTTAAAAATGCGACGCAGATATTTCTACAAACTTGTTTTGTCTGATCAGTTCAGACAAGGAAAACTGTTGGTTTAAACAAAGGGGAAGAAGACAGAAGACAGAGCACAAGCACCTTCCGTCCAAAGCCAGGAAAAAAAAAGAGCCAGATGTACCAAATACATTAATCAGAGCTAGTATTCCTTCAGGAGGAGATGTGTACTGGTTTGCAAGACATACACCTTTCTACCCATATTCCTCGAAGGCCAAGGAATAGTGAACTCGCCCAAATATGCCAGTAAGAGTTGGCACAAATGTGCCCCAACTGAAATCAGACATAAAAAGCAAAACAGGGTTCAATCATTAACAGAATTTTTTATGAAGCCAACAATTTTCAATATCCAAAGTGTCTGCATTATTTTAAAGCAGGGAAAAATGCTAGACACTGCAAGGCAGCAGTAGGACAGATGACTGACTCCCTTTACAGCTGTGCAGGCAGCAGAAGAGCAGCTTTTTGATGATGTGCCTAAGGCCTGGATTTTTCAGGCAGCACTTCCAGGTTTGGAGGGGCAGCAGCTGCCATCCTTGCGCTCCATTAGTGTCTGGTCACTGCCAATGCTTTTCTAGGAAGGGCTTTGACTACTTGATCTGTGGAAGCAGCTGGAGGAACAGCCAAGCTCTCTTGCTGCCTTACCCCTCCTCGGCAGGAGCACTTACGTGCAAAACTTCAACATTTCTCTCCAGCTTCCAACATCCCAGCATAACCCGTAAGTTTATGGCATACTCAGCGTAACAGTTGCTAGAGCTAATTTGTCACACAAGGACAACTTCTTTGTCCTTTTCCATAGTTATGAAACATGTGCTTTGTGCTATATAAAAAGCTATATGGCAGCACCACAATCCTAAATGAAGAGGAAGCTATAGTTTCAACATCTGTTATTTGTAATAAATGAAGTATCCCATCGAGCTGTAATACTAATTACATAGCACAACCTAAAGGAAATCACCCTGCCTAAAAAAGTTAAGAGGTTAAAACACCAGAAAGTTTCAAAATGACAGCTTTCCTGGCTTTCCACTAGGGAGGGGATAAGTATGACAGCACAGTCGTAATGACTTAAAAGCTACATGCAATTCACAAACACGATACTCAGTGACTCGCCGGTCCCTCACTTGAGTGGGAATTACTGGGAAGACACGTTTTAGGCGCACCGATCGGCTTTAAGGCTGCACACACACCTGTCTCTAAGAGAACTCCTTTAAGAGGACTCCTCTCTGACCGCTGCTGATGAGCACAGCTCCTGACAGGAGGGGGAGACCAGCCCTCTGCCAAAATCAGATCACACCACACTTCGCTGTAACAAAAGATGACTCCGGGGAGTTTGTGCTCATCATCGTTATTCCACGCACGTTAAGAGCCACCTCCAACGGCTTTTAGTTCAATTAAACCTTTACTACTCTAAAGGGCAGAGGGTATAAACACATTTAATACCGCGCCGATCGTATAAAGGATAATGAGAGAGAAAGGGAATGGAGTGTCTTTCAGTCCCCGTTTAGAGACACCCCCCCCCCACCGTCTCAAGGTAACCACACAAACCTGGTGGCGGAGAACACATCCATTCCTTGCCCTGTAACCATCCTTTCCCTTTAACCACCCCCCCCCCCCCCCCTTTTTTTCCTTTTTTTTTTTTTTTTTTCAGCTGAGCACTTGCCTCTCCTCCGTGCCCATCAAATATCCCGAAGATGGAGGGGTGAGTCTTGTTCACCAGGTCAGTGATTACTTCGAACCTGTCCTCCATGTGATCCCTCCGGCCTTGGATGGAGTAGACAGCCACGTTGTGGCTCTTGAACTCCCAGGTCTTGGAGAACTCTGCGTCCAGCACGTCTAGCCCCCCGAGCCTGTCATTCTGCATGATCTCGGCCACCTTGCCCTTCACCATCTTCACCGCATCCCTGCTGGACTTAACAATGGTTTTCACCTCATCCGTGTGGAAGAAATAACTCCACAGGGCCAGGCTGATGCACAGCAAGAACAGGGTCTCCGGTCTAAGCAAGAAGTAACGCATGATCCGACCCAGCAGAGACAGCAAAGTCATTGTATCCTCTATCATTTATTATCGAGACC